TCTTTGTTGATGCAATTAGCAATCCAACCCCAGTCATTATATTTCCCCTTGAGCGGTATCTTTAGTGCTGGTAATTCATTCTGCTGCATGTCTTGGAAAAACAGAGCCATCATATGGGCCTGTGATGTACCAAAGACTGTAGCCAGAAATATCTTGGTAATTTATCCCCAAACCCAACTCTAATTATTCTGTTATTCACTAGCTTGTTCGATTGAGACTCTCCAGGTTCTGCATTCCCCAGGCAGAGAACAAAAGGTTTCCCTTGAAAGTAGGGGCCTGGCAATGTCAATGCAGGGAACTGTCTATAAATAATGCAGCAGGGCCGACTTCGTTTTCATAGTCTTGGAGAAATGCATGAAAATGATCAGGCCCCTGGAACTTAGCAGACTTGTGCTTTTCATGTGCTTGCCTTGCTCTGGGTAGATCTGGAGAGTTGGAACTTCTTGCTTTTACTGAGGCTGCTTTATCTTGTCTATATGGATGGTATTTGGTGGCTGTTTTATTCATTTTTAATTTTGAGACTTCTTCCTGCTGAGGAAATCTCTGATATGTACTCAGCACTCATTGATTTTTTAAAAAAACAGAAAGGTTATAATAACTGTAGCTGTTACGATATGTGATCATCAAAAATTAGGTTTGCTTTTACTCTGTTATTTTCTCCATATTAAGGCTTGAATAGTTGGGCAAGACTCTTCTTTCTGTACACTCTGATCTCTCAGCCTTGTTTATTTCTTTTTTATCATTGTTGTTTTGACTTGGTGGGATTTTTTGTTTGCTTTTGAAATTCAAGATTTACTTCTTGGACTAAGTGAGGCTTTTCATCTATAGGCTTCAGTCTTATTTTAACTCAGTGTAACCATGTACCTGTACTGTATTCATTTACTTATCATGGTTCACTCATCTCTTCTGTTTTCTTTTTCCTGTTCCTTTTAAAGAAATTGCTCCTGGAGTTCCTGTTATTCTCATTCAGGGTCCTAGGTCTTTCCCCAAGCTTCTTACCCCTTCCATCATGATTTTTTCCCCTTTCATGTCTTTACTGCTTTGAGAAAGATATTCATTCACTTTGTCTTCCAGAACATTAATTTAATTTCCATCAGGGCCAATTGATTTTTTTAGTGTAAAAAAAAAAACAACCTTTACCTTCCAGAAAGTGTAAGTGTAAGTGTGTAAGTTCTCCTTGCTTTACCTTCCAGAAAGTGTAAGTGTAAGTGTGTAAGTTCTCCTTGCTTTCATCATTAATGTTGCCTCCCAGTATTTTCATCATTTCTACTTCAGTGAGACCTGCCACTTGCTTCTTATAGATGGTCTACATAATCTTCTCTCAAAAACACCTGTCTCTCCAAGTTATATAGTTTTTAAAAATCTACTCATGGGTCTGTATATTTTTGGTGCTTATATGTAGGTTTTTGAGGATCTATTCAGCATTAACAAATCTGAATGCTAGGAAAGGTACAGGATTTATGCCCTGATATTCCTGTTGGAAGTGAGCCAATTCACCAAGAGTTCAAGGCGCCTTCTATCCTCTACAAGCTTCCTGGGAAAAAATAGCACTCATTTTCTGCACATTGTTCTTGGAAATAACTTAGCCTGCAGTGTAGTCTCTGACTATTCGAGGTAGTCTCTGACTATTCGAGGCTTTTACTTCTAAGTTTAATTCTACAATGCTCCTGTGCGGAATGACATGATGGGCTGGTAGATATAGCTTGTCTAAAGGTGACTAGGAGGCTAGTTGCACAGAAAAACACTTCAGGGAAATGACAAAACTCTGGTTGTAACAGAAATCTCTGGGCAAGAATAAACCTTTATTTAGTTACTGGTACTTTGCCTTTACCCAGAAAGAAGATGCAGTTCTGTATTCTTTCTTTCCTAGAGATTTGCTAAAAACTTACAACTTGAGATGCACTCTCTGAAAGATGTCAATCACTATTAGCACTAGAGTGATTTACAGAGATACAAATGAAATGAATCCTAATCATAGTTGCACAGTCCACATGGAGAATTGAGTTTCCAGAGACATCTTTAGCCACAAGACTGTGGTTCAGTCATCTTCACTCCTAGAACACTTTTTAGCCACTTATTTAATTTACTATAAACAATAAGCAATGAGGCATTCCTATTTTTTCTCTTATTATATGAGCAAAATACAGTTGGACTAATTTACTTACATTTTAAAGTGTTGAGTTAACTACTGCTTGTTTGCAAACCACAACCAAGGCTCAGAGTGGAATCCAGTGATCATTTGATTGCCTGATAAGAGGCTTTGTTAGTTTGTGCTCTGGTGAGTGGTTCTTTTGATGTTAGTTTGATTCATTCACTGGCATCTTGGTTGTCTGATTCAACTTGATCCACAACCACCTAGAGGTATGTGATCCAGATTGTGTTTTTTTTTTTTGATCATTGCTGTATGCTTCTCATCTTTGATCCTCCTCATGTGACTAGTACGCTAGCTCAACATGAATTTCTCATGGTGGAGCCAGAGGTGCAAGAAAGCAATTAAAATAAATGAAGCATCTTTAAGCCTAGGGTACAGAAGTGGTATGCAGTACCTTCTGTTGAATTCCTTTAGCTAAATCCAATCGTGTGTCCCAATTCAAAGTGTAGAGATAAGAAAAGTGGTCCTTCCCATAGGGCATGGCCTATACTGTAAGGAGGAAGTTTCCACACTCTTTAGTTACATGGCAGAGGATGTGGATATGTCGAAGGATTCAAGGCACAGGACCATTTTAACAGTAAACCTCCCTTACATGTTAAAAACTGTAATGTATTTGTAATTTTCCATGGCATCTTAAAGGAGAGACTTAAAATTGGCTTGCGGATAGTATGGACATGTTGATAGAAGAACTAAATGGGAACTAGATAAAAAGGAAGACTTGTAGGTTGCCAAAGTGGACAAGGGTGCATGGGAGGAGCAAAAGTCAAGTAAGATGCAAGAAATAGTTAAGAGTAGAGGAACAGAAGTCTCTATTAATGGGGCATCTAGAGAGTGAAGATTTATCTTATTTGCTAGGATTATTGAAAATAATCCTCCTACATTGTCTTTTGTTTATAATTGCTCTTCCCAGTGAGCTAAGAGAGTTCCTAGATAGTTGAAATTTCAAACATTGTGCCAAGGGCGAGTTTACCTACTCTGCATCTCTTACCTTAAATAAAGGATATAGTGTATGTATGTATTTATATTTGTGTAAGTACTTTTTAAATGTATTGGTGTCACTAAACACCAATCTATGTGTTCTGGCAGTTGTGCCACGAATGAACAAATTGTTAATGAAAAGTGTCCTTTCATATGTGGGCAGGTAAGACTGGTTTTGTAAGAGTAAGACTGGTTTTATGTCAAAAGAGTTGCTGGTTTGCTGGGAGAGCCGAAGTGGGTAGGCAAGCAGTAGCTGTCTACCTATAATAGAATTGGTTGCACACAGAAAATAGTCATTTAACAACAGTCCCTTCATTGAGGCCTCCTAAACTGTCTGAGCTGACATGTAAAAACTTCTTAAGTGATTCAAGATGGTACACTAGGAGGAAGCTAGGCTGGGAATCACACAATGGAAACCAGTGATGTCACAAAGGTCAAGTGAATGGAGTTAATCAGGGTTGATGTAACAAATCTCATTTTTAAAAAATTGCACTGGAGAAATATGGAAAATATATTGAAAAGTATTAGGGCTACAAGGAAGATCTATAAAAAAGCAATTAATTACAGGATGTGCTAGACAATAATGCTATGCTCGGATCTCAGAAAAGGAATACATAACCCCAAACTGGAATTTCAGCTTATGTGAAAGTGCAAGTTTTTATTATAAAGAAGAGAAGCTGGAAGAAATTTCTTTTTTTTTTAAATTTAATTTTTTATTTTTTTTGTGAACATACTGTACAGAGGGGTTACAATTACATGGGCAAGATAATGAGTACATTTCTTATCAAGCATTGCAGCCTCCTCCTTTATTTACCCTTCTCATCCCTTCCCAGCCTCCCCTCACCGCCCCCCAATCCCCCCCCAACCCCCTCTGCACCAAAGTTGTAAAGTTCGTTTTTGACATGACGACTTGTACTTCTCATAGTTGCATCGGGTCCACCTGTATCCTTAAACGACTTGTTTTTCCCCATCTCCTCCACAAATTATACCGACATCAAATATCGTGAAAGCAGGGGTTGTACTGTGGGGGAGGGACATACAAAGCTACAAAGAAATAATCTTATAAATGAGTTAGAAACAAATGCATGAAAGAAAAAAACATTTAAATACTTATCTAAGGGTTCTGGAAGAAATTTTTAAGCCTCTGGGTACAGGACAGAGACATAGAAGTTTAAGACGCCCTTTTCCAGTCATGTTTTTAGAGAAATGCCAATTATTTTTAGAGATGGAATATAGAATATTAAGAATGACTTGATGAGAAATAAAGCTGAAAAGGAAAATGCCTCCTTATTACATTTTACTTTAGCTTAGAACAACCACCAGGAACTTTTAAAAACATCTTTATTAAACAGAATTTTAAATATGTTCAAAGTGGACAATGTTTGGTCTCAGCCTCAGTGACCAGCAACTAAGGCTAGTCTTGCCTTGTCTACAATGTCATTCTTCTTCCCATGCTATTTTGTAGCAAATCCAAAATAACATCTCATCTCATATAAATATGTTAGCATATATCTCTGAATGATAAGGAACAGCTTTTAACATAACCAATGTTATATTTTAAAGTTTGCTAAGCTAATTTCATCTAAAAGCTAGTTAAATATCATAATTTATAGTTACCTCAAAAATCTGTATGTGTGTAGCTGTAAGTGTAAATATTCATTGTTTGATCGGTATCCAAATAAAGAGCTGAAAATCTTCTGAAAGTAAAAGAAGGGGCTACCAGTGATTGCCAGGTGTCCAGGGAGACCTTTGGATCTAAACAGTGGTGTATACTTAACATTTTTCTTCATATTACTCAAGATAATCTGGTCGATACTTACTTATGAAGGAAACATGGTTCATTGGTTTTATCTCTCTCCTCTTTCCCTAGGTCTCTCTGCTCCCTGGTGTGTAAATGGACATATTCAGCAGATAAAGGCTGGGATGACAGTTTCTGGAAGATGGTTGGTTTGGAAGACTTGGTTGCTGATAATTACAGCAAAATAGGTAAAGGAGGAGAAAATCTGGAGAATGATCACATCCATCTGTCCATCTATCTTTCTATCTATACATACATTGGTATTTTATATACATATATAAGTGGGTTTATGTATGTATGTAACATATTGTTCATTTTGCCTAGATTCTAGTATAGGAAACCAACCCTACTTTCCTAAGACTTGGGTTTTTCTAAAATGAACCAGATAGTGACATGTCTTATCTGAAGAGGAAGGCTGAATGGAGAGAGGAAGGGTGGGTGAATACAGACATAATACTCAATGTGCATATGTGGAAATAGAACTGGGATGGGATAGGTAAGAATGAGAGAAAGAATGATGGGAGGGGTGACATTGATCAACATGTATTGTACACATACATGGACATGTTAAATTGAAACCTTTTAGTACAACTATTTAGAGATAATTTTAAAATTTTATTAATATACCACAGCATAAGAGAAAAAATAAATCAGTTGAAAAAATAAATAAAATAAATCAGTTATGATGGATAGGACATGACTGTAGGCCAATTTTTCTTTTTCATGATTAATTGGAATAGGAATGTCATGAACTTTTCTGGCCTGTCTGGCTTTGAACCATGATCCACAGATCTCAGCCTCCTGAGTAGCTAGGATTACAGGCAAGAACCATGGCTGAACAGCTGTACCTGCTTATATATCTTGATTTTATAGTAAATTGTAAAGTCTTGAACAAGAGGTTTTTCACTTATTTGCTTTTATATTCCCAGTTCTAACAGAGGGCATAACACATTTTTATGGCCTTATTATTCTTTGATTAATAGGAAGATAGATTCATGCTTCTGGGAGCTGATCTATTTTGTTTTGAAAATCTATAAGGATTTTTATGATTGTAGCAGTACCATTTGTGGGCTTTGATTTTCTGATTATTTTACCATTTTCCTCACACTCTGGTTTCTCTTCAGATCCTTTAACCTCTTGCCTTTTCAACATTTTCCTCTTTCCTCTGCATACAAGACACATGTTTGATTAGTATATTAGCTCTGCTAATAGGGCAATACCTAAAGAAATGTTCATTAAAAGTCCATAATGTTAATCTGGCAGAAAATTTCCAGAGTAACTTTATTAGATTTTGCCTGTTAAGTTAATGGATTTTTAATGGATGTCCTAAGGAGGCATATCATTAACCAGAATATTGCCGTACATGGATTAAAACATACTCATTCATCAAAATTAATTGTGTGATCTTCCCCTGATTTTCATTTCTGGTTACTTGAGCTTAGATTTTCAATCTGAACCCAAAGCAGAAAACATTTAAAAAGATATTTACTCTCAGTTTGATGTTCAGAAACTCCTCGCTCCCTTCCAGACATTGTCTGTAATTCTTGGAACTATGTAAAATGAATCTCGGAAGTCTCCCTATAAAGTGTTAAATATTTCCAGTGGCCTCATTGCTCATCAAAATGTGAGCAATATAGCACAAAACCTTTTAGCAGATTTGAGCACTGAGTGTGGTGGACTGGAGCATTAATACAATTACCATAATTTGCTCCATGTGGAGCTTTTAGCCAAGTCTTTACCAGCCTTCTCGGCTCATGCAGTAAATAAATGCTTTCCCCGAAAACTGAACACCTCAGCAACTGATGGTCTTATGGAAGAATATTTTTGATATAAATTATTTATGAAGTGTAAGTTAAGGATCAAATGCAATATTTATATAGTGCATTTCAAGGACAAGGGAAATTTACAGTGTTTTAAGTAACTACATGTAAGTTTTCAAAGCTGCTACCTTCTGCTCTTCCAAGGAAGTACTTGATAGTTTGGTTTGAGAACACTGTGCAAAATAAGACATAAAATAACTGAATGAAAAGAATATACCAGGAAATTTCTTTACAATTAAATTCCTAGTTGGTTTAGTATTCAGAATTAATGGAAGAAGCTCAAACCTATCTCTCTCTCTCTCTCTCTCTCTCTCTCTCTCTCTGCATGTTTTGTGGAGAGTGGGTAAGAGATTATCCACCTATAGTCCAATAAAATGATCTATTTCAATAAATTTTTACCTTCAGTCCCATGTGAATCATTCCCAGGTTACCTATTTAATCCTATACATCTATCAAAAGTGAACAGGAAGGAAGACATCAGCAAGGAGAGAGGACCCTTAGGAAGATAAGCAACATCCCACCTGTTCTAATCGATTATCCAGCCTCCCTTCCGGCATGTCCCAGTTGCTTTTACTTCCTGGGAAAAGCACGCTTTGGTATATTATTGGGGTAGGACAGTTCATGAAAATTCATATGTATAAGATGGCTGAAATATAGAGTAGTTGTTTGCATTATAGGATTTCATTATGTAAAATAATTCAGTGTTACCTTACAGCTCATTCATTATTTTGGATTTAGGAAGTCAGGAAAACAAGAAATATAAGGCCTGAATAGATCGAATTACTGAGTATTCAGAGAGAAGCAGAAATGCATATAAATTATACATGGAAGAAGATACATTATTGAGGGGAACAGAGGCTGCCTTTTTAAAAATGGTTTTCTCTCCCCTCTGAGACTATATTTTAGGCATTAGACACCATGGATACAGTTACCTGGCATGTTATAGACACCAATGATATATTTGTTGAGTGAGTGAATATGTATGTGAATGAAGGATTTGTTAAGTAAATTCTGTCTTGGCTTTTATTGTTTTAACACTTAATGGAATTTCAATGGATTCTTTAAGTTAAATGATAGTGGAAGGTGAAAGAGACCTAACAAATTTCTGACATCAATTCTGTGTTCATAATAATCTTTCACTAGCACTTTCTATTTAAGAAGATACTCCTATGAAAGTATAGCAGAGTTATTGCCTAAATCCAACCCCATTCTTTTTTATTTTTTTCTTTTATTGTTATTATAAAGGTGATGATGTACAGAAGGGTTATAGTTATATAAATCAGGTATGGAGTACATTTCTTTTGGACAGTGTCACCCCTTCCTTCTCTCTGTCTCTAAGTTTTCCCCCATACCCACCACAACTTGTATAGATCATTTCAACATAGTGTCCAGTGAGTACCACTGCTTCATTTGTTTACCTTGAACCCTCCATTTCTGTGCTTCTCCTCACCCTCCCAAAGACATATAACGAACAAGGATACAGAAAAGAAAATGAAAACAGCATCAAAGAAAGAAACCTCTTATTTCTGTTTCCTGGAGTTCATTTCTATAATTTTTTTTGTATGATGAGATGCACATAGTTATTATACTTTTCTTTTCCCTCTCCTAAGATCTTACTCTGTATGAATGCCTAGAGATGTGGATAATTTATCAGGTCCCAGTGTATTTTAGATCTAGCTTCTGCATATGAGAGAAAATAGGTGCTTTTTGTCTCTTTGAACTTGGCTTACCTCACTTAACATGATTTGTTCTAGGTCCATCCATTTCCCTGCAAAGAACATAATATTATTCTTTCTAATGGCTGTGTAAAATTCCATTGTATGTATGTACCACATTTTTTGGATTTACTCATCTATTATAGGATACCTTAGCTGTTTCCACAACTTGGCAATTGTGAATCGTATAGCAATGGACACAGGTGTTCAAGTGTCTTTATGCTATCCTGGCTTGTTGTGTTCTAGGTAGATGACCAGGAATGGTATGACTGGGTCATAGGGAAGCTTTATGACCAGATTTCTTTTTTTTAATTTAATTTTCTTGTAAAGATGCTGTAGAGAGGGGTAAGGCAACGAGTACATTACTTGTCAATCATTGTTACCCCTTCCTTTGTTGTTGGCCCACTATCCCTTCCCTCTTCCACCTCCCACACTCCTTCCCACCCCACCCCACCCCCACCTGAAGCTGTACAGTTCATTTCAAATATACTGTCCTGTGGGTTTCTTGTAACGGGCCATCCTGTATCCTTGTTTTACCGTTTTGTTATTCCCCTTCACCTCCCTAGATTAGACAAATGTATATACAAGATGCAGGGTACCAAAATCAAGTACAGTGACATCAGAGGATAAACCATAGAAGGAAGAACATACAAAGGAAACAACCAAAATCACATAGTACATTTAAAACAACAACATCAAAGACAGACCTCTTGTGTCCATACCTTCGGGTTCATTTCACTTAGCATCATTTTATATGATCATATATACATAGTGTCTGAACTTTTCAGCTCATCTAATAAGATCACCCTATATGTATACTAATTATTGCAAATAAGGGAAACCATGGGACCTAAATTTCTTTGGGACTGGCTTACTTCACTTAATATGATTTTTTTTCATCTTTCCATTTCCTATCAAATAGGGTGGTGTCATTCTTTCTGATGGAAGCATAGAATTCCATTATCTTGATCCACTCATCTACTGAGGGGCATCTGGGTTGGTTCCATATCTTAGCTATGATGAATAATGCTGTAATAAACATAGTTGTGCTGGTAGCTTTAATATGGCCTTGTTTGATTTCATATGGGTAAATGCCCCCAAAGTGGGATTGCTAGGCCATAGGGGAGCTCTATGTGTAGTATGACCAGATTTCTTAGAGCTAGGATTACTGGTATTAGTGACTGGCACCTGGCCAGGACAGGAATTTTTTTTTTGTAAAATTTATTTTATGTTTTATTTATCTATTTATTTTAACTTTTTATTGTCAAGGTGATGTACTGAGAAGTTACAGTTCCATAAGTACTGTAGTAAATACATTTCTTATCAAACTTGTTACCCCTTCCCTCATTTTTCTCCTACTTTCCCTCCCCCTATCTCTCCCCCCCCCCCAGTTGTACAGCTCATTTACAACATGTTTTCTTGTGTATATCGCTGTTGTATTGGTTTCTCCCTTGTCCTTTGTCTCACCATTCTGTTGGGCAGGAAATATTTAACGACAACTTATTATAGGAAGGTTGGGAAATTTACTTTTCTGTTGAGTAAAATAAAATTTATTGTAATTGATGCTGCCTTTTAGATATTTTTGTCTTGTAGCCTTAAAAGCACAAGTGAAAAATATTGGCTAATTACAAATATGATTGTACACACAAATGT